GTAGACCATGTGTTTTTAAAAGTCCTGGCTTTAAGAACACTACTACAAAGCTGCAGGAGGGGACGCAGTGGAGCATCTACCGCTGAACCCCACTTAACTCCTTGCCAAAGACCTCTAGACTTTGCCTGCAACAATCACTACACAGACACTAACTTAATGTTAACATAATGGGGGTGTGCATGCGAACAAGATAGAAAAATCAGTCCTATCTTGTTTTCTGCAGGAAAGAAGACATGAGAACAAGCTCTGAAGGTTCCCTCTGGACACGTGGGCCTGCACATCTGGCCCCTCAACTCTGCACTGCTCTGCCGCCTCATCACGCCCTGAGCCCACACTGCTAGACCGGCTTGGGCACGGCCCTCTCAGCCTTTCCACATGGAGGCGCTGAGCCTTCAATTCTGGCTGCGGGAGAGCATTCACCTTTGAGTCTGAGGAGCCCTGGTTCTTTTTTAACATCAAGGGCAGCCCTTGTGCTGTCATTTCCAGCCTTAGACAAGCCACATAAACAGCAGTTGCAAAAACAAACTGCCAGATACAGGAAAAAGGTCTGTGACAGCAATCCTTTGAAGTGGGAACTCTGCTACTTGAAAACACACAGCGTCAGTTCTTACAACTTCAAGAAAAGGAGAGACAAAGGCTACCAGAAAGCATCACCAGCAAGTTTTACTTTTAAAAGCAGTTTGGGCTTCTAGAAACTTCTGCTCCATGGCCAGACAGCTCTAGCCTGAAGTCTGGGTAACATCTTGCTGCCATGAGGGGACAGAGAGCCATGCAGTGGGTCAGATGAGAGCAGTCAGGCTGAGAACCGAAGTCATCCTCCCGCTCCCTCTCAAAAGCAGTGGCCACACTGACCTCAGAGAGTGATTTTTCCATTCAAAAAATAAGAGCACGATTTCTAACTACAAATCTCTCACTATGTCACAAAAGAGGTCAACAGAAAATCCTGCATGTCTTGAAAAACCAGCGTGCTGAAGTTTCGCAGATGAAAGGACTTCCCATCAGCGGGTTGTGTGTGAACTTGGCCTGTGCCACCTGGAGAGAACGGAGAAGGCACGGTCTCACCCAGAGGTCATTCCGGGAGGGACTAATGCTCCACAGGCTGTGTCCAATGTCCTCCTAAGTGCTTCTGGTACCTGGTGCAGGTTTAAGCCCAACCACAGCAGTCAGGCTGACAGAGTTGCTCGTGTGGATGTGGCTGTTAGACTCTTCTTTCCTTGCACAAAACACATAGGGCGTGATGCCCAGACAGACTCAGCAGCCCGGGAAGTAGGTCCTATGCTGAGGCCCCACTGGTGCAAACGAACCTTCACACCAATAGCAGACTTAAAAACCAGGTCCCCAGTGTGAGTGGCCTCTTCCACCCCACCTGGGAGCCAAACACACAGGACAAGGTCACTCTCAGGGCCTGGCTGTCTACCAGCGAGAACACAGGTCTACTCCTGCCTTCAAGTTGGGATTTACACCATCATTCTCCTGGGTCTGGACTTCTTAGCCTCCAAAATCACACGAGCCAATTCCTTATGATCTTTCTTTATACACACACACTGATTCCCTAATACAAACACTTCCTTGTCATTTGGACTAGAAGTTGTGTGTGTGTGTGTGTGTGTGTGTGTGTGTGTTTACTGCACACTGTAGACAGACAGGATTATGAGAACTGGACAGTGAGCACTGAGAACTGGAAGCAGGGCCTGTGGCCTGGGGGAAGGTCATCCTGACTGCCAGGGAGAGCGTGGGAGTCACTTTTTCCCACACAGATACCAGCTGTCGACGCACCATTAGTGGAAGATCATTCCTTCCTGACTGAGTCACCTTGGCACCTCTGGTTTCTTTTTTCTTTTCTATCATGTTTATGGGGTATTACTTACACACAGGGAAACTCCCTCTTCTTGTTAAATGGACAGTTGGGTGAGTTTGGCAAGTGGACACAATAATTAAGATACAGGACATCTCCGACACTCACCAAAGCTCCCTCCTCACCTGCCCTACACCCAGCTCCGAGAAAGGCCCACTCTGTCTCCAGAATACAGGTGGATTATGCAGCAGGTTGACTTTCAGGTGTGGCTTTTCTCATCACAGTGCTCCTGAGAGTTACCCAGGCTGTTGGTTGTATCAGTAGACAGTTCCTTATTTTATTGCTGAGTAGTATTCCACAGTATGAATATCTACTGTTTATTATCTATTTCAATTGATAAGCTGCTGGGAAATCTTCTGCATGTAGGCCAGATATTTTTATGCTGAGATTTCTAAAAAGGCCAAAGAAGATGATATATAAAAAATATGCTGGGGGTGCTGCGGATTTAGCTCAGTGGTTCCAGCACCTGCCTCATAAGCACAAGGACCCAAGTTCGATCCCTGGTACCAAAAACAAAACAAAACAAAAATACGATGGACACAATGTCACACATCTATATACCAAGCAACTTGAGAGGCTGAGGCAGGAGGATCTCAAGATCAAGCCCAACAGGGAAATTTATCAAGACCCTGTCTCAAACTAAAAAGAAACAGCTCTTGGGAAATACTCAGTTTAGTCAATAACAATGCTGGGCATCAGTTCAAAGTGACCATCAAAGTATGATATGCAATAAATCAAACACAAAAGCTTAAATATTGCATGGTTTCTGTTCTATGAGAAGCCCAAAGTACACATAAATTAAAGAGCAAAATAAAAGATAGGTAATAGGAACCAGAGAGATAGATCTTTTGCAAATGAGAAGGGAAGAAGAGATGGAAGGAGATAAGGGGAAGTAGATGAAAATAAGAATTGAGATGTGTTTTGCACATGGGTCAGCACGCCATGACAATGTACTCATTCATGGACTCATACAAAAAGAAATCACAAAAAATTAGAATG